TGGAAGTTGTCTCTCTCCTAGAGTCCCTTCTCTTTGGCTGTAATTGCTCTTTACCTTCCATCCAACAGTTTTTGGGACGACAATCTCCAATGATATACGGATATCATTAAAGAATATCACAAAAGCAGCATAGGATTTTTTTCCGCCTTTCAAGTAGTTTCTACGTGCCGGAAAGAGTGCTTAACTCCCCCCCCCCAAAAAAAAAAGTAGGCCATAAAGCAATAATAAGGAAGAGACGCAAGACATGAAAAGAGGAAGAAAGCTTTACATYTGTCTGCAGGAGTCACCGCCGACTTCAAGGAAAAGCTTGTGAACAGCCTTAAAGGGAGTCGTGTTTGCCAGGGGGAACAAAAGCTTTCCAAGTACAATACAGGGGGTCAGCTCSTAGGAGGAACTGGGGGCGCGCAGCACTCGCTGCAGGCTGGGGCTGCAGAGGTGGGTGAGGAGCCGGAGGGGAAGCCAGAACAGGCAGGCACCAATGCTGTGCTTTGCTTGCAAGCAGGAAACGATGGCCCTGCTGCAGTTTTTGCTTATAAACAGGGGTCTCGCTATGTTGCTCAGGCTGGCCTCGAACATGCGGCCCTCCAGCTCAGCCCCGGAACAGATGGGATTGCAGGCGTGCGGCACCACAACCGGCTTTCCCACCCTCCACTACCTCTAAGAGACCGAGCCGGGACCAGAAGGCACATAGGCTGACTGTAAGGTGATCCATCCCTAGTTGGAAAAGACCACCGTGCCGCCAGGATACCGCCCGTTACACCAAGAGTTCATTCTCCCGGTGGTCGGGAGCCCTGGCCTATGGTGTTTCCCATTCCTCAGCTCCCAACCGCCCAGGATGCTCCGCTGGGCCGCCAAGTCCTCTTAAAACGCGAGGGAGTCCCAGGAGCCGGTGCACGCGAACTCCCGCGATCACAGGTCCCAGTAAACCCAGTTCAGGTTAGAAAGGCGCCACCCAGTGGCTAATAAGCGGACCGTCAGGCAACGCTTTCAAGAGGGGCCGCTAGGTGCTGCGGAGGCACAGTTGCTGCTGTCGCCTAGGCAACTGCCATTCCGTAACGGAATGCACTTCCGCTTCCGCCTCCGTGCCCGACGGATGAGCGTTCACGCAGCGTCGCCTCCGTGACGCCACTCTGCTGCGACTGCGTGAGTGCGGAGCTTCCGTGTGGTGGTGTCCTCTGCGGCGGGAAACCCGAGAGCGGCTGTCTCTGGCTTTCGTCCTCTGATCTGAGCGCCGAGGGAAAAGTGGCGAAATGACCGACCGCTACACCATCCACAGCCAGCTGGAGCACCTCCAGTCCAAGTACATCGGCACGGGCCACGCCGACACCACCAAGTGGGAGTGGCTGGTGAACCAGCACCGCGACTCGTACTGCTCCTACATGGGCCACTTCGACCTTCTCAACTACTTCGCCATTGCCGAGAATGAGAGCAAAGCGCGAGTCCGCTTCAACCTGATGGAGAAGATGCTGCAGCCTTGCGGGCCGCCGGCCGACAAGCCCGAGGAGAACTGAGCCCCGCGCGGGGACCTTCGCGGCCGCACCGCTCCCTGCCTTCTCCAGTTTGCTGTGGTTTCCTGCGTTTTCCCGCCTCCAGTGGACAGATTCTTCCCGGCTCGTGCTTTCGGTGCCAGAGGGGTTTGTCCCGGGGTGRCCCTCCTGACCCGCCTAAACGTGGACCCTTCGGAACATGGCATTGAGACACCGTCAGGACCCTGAGAACTGTGCGAGCGGAGAGGTCCTAGAGCCGACAAGCATTAGGGAGGACGACCCTGGAGTGAAACGGGACTTGGCTAGTTGTCTGTCATCGGTGCTTTTTCCATAAAGTTTAGAAATTGCCCTGTCTTTTGGTGTGACTCCTTTTGTTCCAGTGGAAGGGTTCGGGGAGAGGTTTGGGGACCAGGATTTCAGAGTTCGAGTTCGAATTGGTTCATTATCAGGCTCTTATATTCCCTATGCAGACCTCTGTAATATTCCTCACCCTGAATCCCCAAGAGCGTTTTTTTTTTTTTTCATGCTTACAAGTATTGAGGTTTATGATTAATTTATCCCACCTTTTTTTTTCTCTCATTTCAAAATGGTTTGCTTTCATTGACTCCACGTCTCTGTAAATTGAATCCGCTCCCTTGGAATTCGTGGCCATGTCTTAAGAAATGACAGCTGGTAAAGGAGTATGATCTTTCATACAACAAATTGTGTGTGTGTGTGGGGGGGAGGGTCCATCCCCAGGTAGGGGGAATTAAATCCAAGGGCGCTTTACCACAGAGCTACATCCCCAGCCCTTTAAATTCTTTGACAGGGTTTCCCTGCTGGTGCTGGCCTAAAACTTGTGATCCTTCTGCCTCAGCCACCTGATGTTTGTCGTTCTCAGAGACAGGCTTTTTTTTTTTTTTTTTTTTTTAGACTTTGGGGCTTAAATTATGCTAGTTGGAGAAGAGGGAGGCCAAACAAACTAGACATAAATGTTAGAAGATGCTGGTAGGTGGGAGCAGTTAGTAGGGTCACAATTTATATATATCATTCTCATATTTGGTTATTGAGATGATGTCATTTGAGTCCAGATTTTTTTTTTAAAGGAATTGAGAGAAATAGCTATGCAGAAAACTGGGAAATTGCTTTCATATAGAGGGAACTACTGGTGCAAGGGACTAAGGCCAGGACAGTGTCTGACTAATTGTAGATGCTACAGAGAGACAAGTGTACTGGATGGAATGCAGGGACAGATAAAGGAGGGCAGAAAAGAGTAGATCTATGTAGTCAATACAAGAAAATCTGAAGAAGGTAGGAAAAGAARCACTGGAGGGTCTCTAAGCAGAGAAGTGACATGATATGGCATTTAATTTTGCAGTGCTGAGGATCAAACCCAGGGTCCCATTCATGCTAGGAAAGCACACTACTGCTGAGTTACACTTCCAGCACCTGATATTTTAAGTCAGTGGTTCTCAAAATTTGGGTCATGGGATTCTGTTACACTTTAAAAAATGATAAGAGATCCCAAAGCGTCTTTGTGTGGGTGTTATAGCTGTTGATATTTACCACAATTGAAATTAAAGCTGGTCTGGGGTTGTGGCTCAGTGATAGAGTGCTCACCTAGCACGTGCAGAGCCCTGGGTTCGATCCTCAGCACCACATATAAATAAAAAAATAAAAGGTATTGTGCCCAACCACAACTAAATAAAATATTTWAAAAAAAGAAATTAAAGCAGAAATTTTAAAAATGTTTACTAAATCATTTAAAGTAACAATAAAAATTACATAATAAAACCATTTTTATGAAAAATAGCTAGTTTGCAAAACAATTTATTGAAAAGAATGACTTTTTAAAAACATTTTGGAGAGCTCTTTGATATTTGGCTTAAGTGTTGATTGGATTCTTATTCAATTCTTCATTCATTTATACTGTTGGGATACAAAGTTTTTGGTTTAAGTATGAGAAAATCCACTACTCATAAATCAGTAGTTTGGGAAGAATATTTAGCTTTATCAAATAATTATTCATTGATATTCTAGCAAATCTATCCAGTGGTAGTTTCTTAAAGATAGTTAAAACAGGGAATCTGAAATMAAAGTCAGTTAACTTTACAATTCTGTTACATTAAAATTTATTCACCTGCTGGGTGTGGTGACATGTGCATATAATCTTGGACAGAAGGATGCAAGTCTGAGGCTAGCCGGGCAACTTATAGAAACTCTGCCTCAAAATTTAAAAAAATAAATAAAAAATGCTGTGAATATAGCCTAGTGATACAGCACCCTGGGTTCAATCCCTGAGAGAGAGAGAGAGAGAGAAGAAAGAAAAAAAGACACAGAAATTCACAATTGTGCCCATGTTTATAGCAGCACAAATCTCAATAGCTAAACTATGGAACCAGCCTAGGTGTCCATCATCAGATTAATGGATAAAGAAAATGTAAATATACAGAATGGAGTTTCATTCTGCCATATAGATAAATGAAATTATATTATTTTCAGGAAAATGGAACTAGAGACCATTATATTAAGCAAAATAATAATCTCAGAAGGTCAAGGGTCTCATGTTCTCTCATATGTGGAAGCTAGAGAGCAAAAAGGAAAAGAAAAGTGGCAGGGCTGTGGTGGGCATCTCATGAAAATCAAAGGGAGATTAGTAGAGGAAAGGGACCAAGGGCTGGTGGGAGGTGGGGAGTGAAAGAGTTAGTGGGTGGAGGGGGAGTGATGTTGGCCAAATTACATTGTTACATTGTGTGCATGTATGGATATGTAACAATAAATCCCATAGTTATGTATCACTATAATACCCAATTTGGAAAAAAAAAAAAAATGAGTGGGCTGGAGATACATCTCAGTTGGTAGAGTGCTTGCCACTCCCGTACAAGTCCATGGGTTCAATTCCCATCATGACAAAAAAAAAAAAAAAAAAAAAATCAAACTGGGGGAAAAGAGGAAATTCCCAATGGTCTTTAGCAAGTTTAACTTTACTTGGAAGCTTGAATCTGATTACTGGTAGTAGATATATAATTCTCTTTGAAATGACAGGCCCATTTGCTTCCTTTTCAAGAATATGTCTACCAAATACCCCAAAACTATAGTTTATTGTCTGAAAACTATAGTTTATTGTCTAATGTGAACATAAGAAGTCTTAAAAAAGCAGAAGTTGAGTTCAGTTTACAATTCAAATAAGCACAAATGTTTTTCCTTGAGAAAACCACCATTCTCTGTAGGCAGCAGTAATTTTTTTTTAAGAGAGAGAGAAAGAGAGTGAGAGAGAGAGAATTTTTTTAAATTTTTAGTTTGTCAGTGGACACAACATCTTTATTTTTTATTTTTATGTGGTGCTGAGGATCGAACTCAGTGCCCCCCGCATGCCAGGTGAGTGCGTTACCGCTTGAGCCACATCCCCAGCCCACAGCAGTAATTCTTTATGAATACTACTAATTTTGTTACATGGAATATCAAACACATGACTTCARGATTCCACAATATCAGTAAGTGTTACTACTTCATCAAGACATTCTTAAGTGAAACAATTTTTTGACTTTGTTTTGAGAGGACATGACAATACAATGATTACAAGTACAGTTTTGTGCCTCCACCTTGATTCATGTTAAGTSCTGGTAATATTACCACTCTAGCTTCTGGAACATCTGTGCAAGTGTTAACAGTGAAAGAGGCAAATAAAATCATGGTATTATGAAAATTGTTTTGACTTTATGGATTCTCTGAAATTCCTGTCCCACTTTTTTAATTAAAAGAATGATTTATAGTAGATTAAATTATAGTTATTTGCACTTTGGTATTAGCTGTTTGCTCAAAAATTAATGAAATGGGCCATCTCTTTAAGAAAAGCAGATGAACTTCTTTATCAGCGAATCCTTCCTCTGGCCACTTTGTTGGGAATAGATGATGTAAAAAAAATTGATTATAATTATTAGCAATTAAATAAAAGTGGTGGCACTAATGTTTGTTTTCCCTTTTACCTTAGAGAGAAGTTAAACTACAAATTACCATTCTTATAAAACTTAATAAAGGTTTACAATGTGTTAAGTCCCTGCCCCTAATAGGAGGCTGTAGCAGAAGACCAAGAAAGACATGTCTTTCATCAAGGATAAAGAGGAAAGGACTGAGTCTGTAGCATATTTGAAGAAYGAAGAACTGAGTAATGTATACATTAGGAATTGCAAGACTTGAGAAATAAATTAGTAATGTAGAGAAAGAATTCCACAAACTCCCTAAATTATACTGTTGGGTTACATAAGGGCAAAGTTATATATTTTTTTTGTTTTGTTCTGTTGTTGTTGTTGTTTTGCAGTACTGGGAATAGAACCCAGGGGCCCTCTACCACTAGGCTGCATCCTTTTTATTTTTTATTTTGAGCTGATCTCACTAAGTTGCTCAAACTGGCCTTAAATTCCTGCTTCAATCTCCTGAGTAGCTAGGATTATAGGATTATGCCACCATGCCTGGCTCATCTTTTTTATCTAAGTAATTAAATTAATTAGCTTATTATTGTTTTAGAGTCTGGGGATAGAATCCAGGGGCACTTTAYCACTGAGCTATATACCCAGTCCTTTATTATTATTATTATTGTTTTTTGAGACAAGTTCTCACTAAATTGCTAAGGATTCTGCTAAATAGCAGAGGCTAACTTGGAATTTRCAATCCTCCTGCCTMAGTGTCCAGAGTTGCTGGGATTACTGGCACAAGCCACCATGACCGACTTGTCTATTTTGTTAACTAAGGTATCTTAGGTGTCTGGAACAGGGCCTGGCACATGCCACATGTTTGTTCAATAAATATTGAATGCACACAGGGAAGATAGGGCTTAATTCAATTAATATATTGCTAATTCATGTACAAAGGCAGCCTTCAACTTCACCAAGATAGGCAACACCAAAGAAAGGAGATATTTGAAAACATTTCCTATCATAGCAATAATAGCTTACATATATTGAGGGTTTTGATGGTGGGCCGAGCACTTTATCATATGTAATCTTTATGAAACAGGTTCAGAAAAATTGATTTGCCCAAAGTCACACTTCTTGTTAGCTAAACCTCTCTAGTTCCAAAATACAAAGTCTCAAACATACTGTTGCCCCAAGTAGGTCTAGTAGATAGAAATAATAGCCAATCRTTTGATATCAATTATTGTCTCAGATTTTTAAAATGTAAATATTAAAATCTAAGAAGATGATTTATACTGAAGGAACATCAGTATAAATAATATAGGAATATGTGACATAATATTAAAGGCCTCATATTACTCCAAGTAAAAAAATATAATTTGAAGCCAGGCTCAGTGGTGCATACCTATAATCCCAGGGACTCAGAGACTGAAGGAAAAGGATCACAAGTTCTAGGCCAGCCTC